TCTCTTTCTCCCTCTCTTTCTCCCTCTCTTCCTCTCTCGCCTCCCTCTCTTTCACCTGCCTCTCTCTCTTCCCCCTCTCTCACCTCTCCCCCCCCCTCTCTCTCACCTCTCTCCCCCCCTCTCTCTCACCTCTCCCCCCCCCTCTCTCTCACCTCTCCCCCCCTCTCTTTCTCACCTTCCCCTCTCTCTCTCACCTTCCCCCCCCCTCTCTCTCTCCACCTTCCCCCCCCCCCTCTCTCTCTCTCTCACCTTCCCCTCTCTCTCTCTCCCCCCCTCTCTCCCTTTCTCACCTTCCCCTCTCTCTTCCACCTCTTTCTCTTCCCTCTCTCTCTCCTCCTCTCTCTCCCTCTCTTCCCCCCCTCTCACCTTCCTCGCTCTTCCCCTCTTTCTATCTCTCCCTCCTCTCCCCTCTCTCTCTCTCTTTCCCTCTCTTTCCCTCCTCGCTCTCCCTCTTCCCTCTCTTCCTCTCTCTCTCTTCCCTCTCTTCCCCCTCTCTCCTCCCCTCTCCCTCACTCTCTCTTTCTCCCTCTCCCCCCTCTCTTCCCCCTTTTCTCTTCCCTCCCTCTCTTTCCCCCCCTCTCTCTTCCCCCCCTCTCTCTCTCTCCCTCTCCCCCCTCTCCCCCCCTCTCCCCCCTCTCTCCTCTTTCTCATCCCTCTCTCTTCTTTCTCTCTCCTCTCTCCCCCCCCCTCTCCCTCTCCCTCTTCTCTCCCTCTCTCTCCCCTTTCTCTCTTTTCTCTCTCCTCCTCTCTCTCTTCTCTTTCTTCCCTCTATCTCTTTCTCTCTCTTCCCTTTCTTTCTCTTCCCTCTCTATCCCCCCCTCTCCCCCTCTCTTCCTCAGATTGTATGGGACCCCCCCCCCTCCCTCTCCAAAGGCCGCTGATCTTCAGGCAGCAGGAAGGGGTGGGGAGGTGTGTGCAGTCCCATAAGATCTGTCAGTGTGTAATGTGCTGGATGGATGACAGGAGGGAGAGCCCACGGAAGACAACACAGCTTACCTCCTCCAGGCTCTTTCCTCTCTGCTGCTTCTCTCCCTGCTCCAGGCTGTGCCCTGGTCCTGGATCGTCATCTGCTGGAGGGAGAGATACACGACCGTCGCTCTGCAACTGCCCTCCCCCACGCCCCACCACATCTATCTTCCTGCTGTCCGCTGCTGCTCAAAAGGTCCATTCTTCTGGGGGGCGGTGTTGCCGCCACCCCCCCCCCCCCTAAATATTGCTGCCCTAGGCAAACGGCTTGTTTGCCTCGCGGTAGATACGCCCCTGGATTGACTGCATGGCATTTTGGAGGAGATCCTAAAAAGAAAGAAAGGGTCTCTACAATTCAGTAATCTGCACTTTTCTGAAGCGTAGGAAAGCAGGGACTTCGTTTGGAAAATTTGCATTTGGAAAATTTTTTGCAAGTCTAGTTGATAGGATGTCAATCCTTTGAGTGCTCCTAATTTTTCTTTGGTTTTGGACTTTCTTCAAGCAGATTCTGGACAAGGGGCTGAAGCAAGTATCCTGAAACTCCATATTTTGACACTTTCTTCTTTCTATGATTTCTGCCATGGATTTAATCATTTAATTTATGAGAGCAGGTTCACATTAAAGGCTTCCTCTGTGGTTGCAGGAAAGAAATTTGTTCCGTCTATGGGCTGCCTAACAGCTGTTAATGATAATTGCATGTAAAATCTGGCAGACCGGTTGTACCCAGGTTGATCGATCGATCATCTTTGGTACATTCAGCCTGCCCTTACATAGTTCGTATCTTGGTTGGTTCCTGCTGAACCAGCCGAGATTTTAACCGTCTGTGGCTGGCCTTAGCCTTCAAAAGACAACTGCCAAACTCTTCGGACAATAAGCACAGCTCTTCTGGATCTAAGTCTAGCAGAAGTGGATTAGACCAAGACTCAGAATTAAATGAGGAAGTCATCTTTCATGCTGTCAGTTTTTTCATGGTGTCTTCTCTGGTCAGATCAATGAAGTTTGCCATTGGAAGGAAGAAACACGAGTCATTGTGAAAATACTTGGGAAATTTTATCTTGATCTTAAAAAGGAATTGCTAGCTTTCCCTCTTACGGTCAAAATATAGGAGATCATTAAAGAAAAATGGGCAAAGCCTGACAAAACTCAATAATACAGCGACAAATTTTTATCCAATCACCAAATAAGGCACAGACTTATGGGAAATATCTCTAAAGATAAACACCCCCTTCCAAAGTTTGATGACACCAGTACTGCTGTAATTATATGACTCAGTGGCATTTAAAGTGATTGTAAAGTATCTTTTTTTCTTAATAACAAACATGTTATACTTACCTGCTCTGTGCAGTATTTTTGCACAGAGCAGCCCTGGTCCTCCTCTTTGGGGGTCCCCTACCACAACACTCTTGGCTGCTCCACCCTGCTGGGTACCCCCCAAGCAAGCCGCTTGCTAGTGGTGCACTTTTGCAGGTTCAATCCCAAGCCGCACCATGTGCATCTATAGACAAACACAATGTGGCTCAGCCCTGCCCCCGCTCCTTTGTCATTGGATATGATTGACAGCAGCCAGAGCCAATGGTTCCCACTGCTCTCATTGAGTCCTTGAGGAAGGAGAGAGAAGTGCCCTGCTGTTGGGCAGAGCATTGGATTGAGTTCGGGCTCAGGTAAGTATTTAGGGGGGCTGGGGGAGAATGCATTAGGTAAAAAGCCATTAGCCTTTATAACCACTTTAAGGGTGCAATGGACCAGATAACTGATACTCCGAACAGAATATCTTCAATTGTGGGCTCTGTGTGTAGATCAGTGATTACCCTAAAGTTTAAAGGTTATTTATGTTTTTGACATTGGTCAAAGAGGTAACCATTTGGAGAGATGTCAACAAACCTTCTTATAATAGCAGTGATACAAAAGCTGAAATAATCTTCAGACATTTTACCGAAACATTAGTGAATCAGGTTCGCATGATGCTGCATTTGGTGGTCTACTGATAAATGGCTAGAACATCATTCTGGTTCAAACAATGGGCAGTGAACTTCATGTCAAAAATCAAAGTCTCTGTTCCATATTATTTCAAGGAAAGCTATTGTTTGGTAAAATGAGGAGTGTCTGTGGCAGCCTTTTCAGTCAATAGAAAATCCAGAGGTTAATATTATGAGCCAAGGTGTTATTACATAAGTCAGGGAGATTACTGGAACTTTCAAAATACATTTCAAAGTGGAAGTAAGTCTAAAGCCTTGTACACACGATCAGAAAATTGTACGAAAAAAAAGCACTTTCAAAGCGATCATACAATAATCTGATCATTAGTATACAGCTTTTGCCCGAAAAATTTTCTTGTACTATACCAGATCATATGATTTTCATTTAATTAGTTTTTGTCTGAAAATACAATAAAAATACATTACATAACTTTTGAAACCTCTTCACTTTCCAATGTGTAGAAGAGTATCAATAAAAGTTTCTGAAGGTGTGCCTGCCATGGTCTCTCTGCTTGGTGTAAGATTATTCATTTTCACCAAGGCCTGGGTGGAAGACATAGTGAACCAGTGGATGTTGGATATAACAAGGAGCTAATGCTTAGATTTCTCCAAGAGGTAGCACAAATCCATATTTGTACAGACCAGTACTGTGACAAGAGAGAAGTTTGGGTGTCTACTGACCTCTGCGTCTAGTAAGACATTTCAGGCAAGTTTTCATTCAAAAAGTTCTAAATTCCTCTCTCCTTTCTGAATGGTATCAATCCAGATGGTCATATACAGCATGTTATTAGTTTTTGAAATTCACAGAAAGCAATAGACTTTCTAATATGTTTGTATCCCATTCGGTCTGTTTACTGTGCCCAGGAACTTGAAGAATTCCTAATTCTAGTAGACTAGATTGCTATCCTGAGATCTCACATAGCTCTCACTTTGAAGAGTAATGGATGGCTATTGAATGTACAGAAATGTCAAGTAAGACTCACCCAAGCAAAAAAATCTGTAAAATCTAATGATATTTTTCAAGACTACTCAGTGTGTAAAGTCTTATTGCCTCCATGGAAAATTTAGAGGACTGTTGGGTATGAGAAAGCTGTTGATTAAGGGATTGCCTGTGAGTGCTAGGCTTGCTCACTGCCACATTCATCGCAGTCATGTGGTCCAGGTGGTGCCCAATTTTTTTTCAGTACCACACAACGGGACCATACACTATTTAGTCTGATTGTACAATCGTCTTTAGATGTACCCTCAACTATGCAGTGCAAGGGCCTGCCTATTATTGTAAAAAATGTTTGGGTTGTTTACGTGTGTCCACCTATTACATAGATTTGATAAATCTAAAGGGGAATGTGCAATCAGAATCTATAGTGTATGGTCAGCTTTATGCAAACAGTGGAACTGTGGCTTGATATCCCAGGTAGTTTTCTGGCCACTGTCGGTGAGACATTCTCTATCCTGGTAGACAATAAAGTCCAATTTGTCCATGGGAAGACATCTTGGTCAGACATCAGATGTTGTTTTTCACATTGAATGACAGTTGAACAGGCTGGTGCATTGCCTAGAGAAAAGGGCACATGGCTATTGGACTCAGCATTGACCATTGTAAATTTAAAGCACCTCTCAAGTTGAAGGAAATCCTGAAAACATGGCCTGTTATGGGTACTTGAGAATTGAGGTTGGGAACCACTGCACTAGTCAGTCATGACTAGGAAAACACTTTGGGTATGACCATGGGTTGCAAATCCCTCATTCAAGAAGAGGCTGTGTAGAATCCACTTTGGCAGACAATCCCTGTTTGGGATTATTCTTGAAACAGCTATTAGCAAGACGACTGGAAGTCAAACTGTTGGCACAACATAGACATTTACTTAACCACTTGCCTACCAGGCACTTATACCCCATTCTTTACCAGGCCAATTTTCAGCTTTCAGCGCTGTCGCACTTTGACAATTGCGCAGTCATGCAAGATTGTACGCATATGAAATTTTTATAATTTTTTTCTCACAAATAGAGTTTTCTTTTGGTGGTATTTAATTGCCGCTGGGCACTTCACTTTTTGCGCTATAAACAAAAAAATAGCAAAAAATGTGAGAAAAAAAAAGTTTCTTTGTTTCTATTATTAAATTTTTCAAGCAGGTAATTTTTCTCCTTCACTGATGTGCGTTGATGAGGTAGCACTGATGGGCACTGATAGGGAGCACTGAAGGGCACTGATAGGCAGCACTAATGAGGTGTCACGGATAGGCGGCACTGATAGGCAGCACTAATGAGGTGTCACGGATAGGCGGCACTGGTGATGGGTACTGATAGCATTGATAGTTGGCACTGACTGGCAGCACTGCTGGGCACTGACTGGCACAACCTCTGGGCACTGACTGGTGGCACTGCTGGGCTGCACTGGTGGGTGGCACTGGTGGGCACAGGTGGGTGGCACTGCTGGGCACAGGTAGGTGGCATTTCTGGGCACAGGTGTGTGACACTGCTGGGCACAGGTAGGTGGCACTGCTGGGCACAGGTGGGTGGAGCTAGTGGGCGGCACTGCTGGGCACAGGTAGGCACAGGTGGGCTGGAACTTGTGGGTGGCACTGCTGGGCACCGATCATCAGGGCACTGATCATTAGTGCCCTGATGATCGGTGCCGATCCCTGCTCTAACAACTGCCGGTTCTCGGCAGTACTTTCCTCACGATCTGACAGCGTGAGGAAAGTGCAGCCGAGAACCAGCAATTGCATTTCCCGGTGATCAGCGTGTCATTGGACACGGCTGATCACGTGGTAAAAGGCCGCTGTAATTGGCTTTTTACCACATCATGTGATCAGTTGTGTCCGTAGGACACAGAGATCGCCGGGGGCGCACAGGAGAGCGCGTTCTGGGAGGACGTCATATGACGCCCTTCCAGAACTGGCCGGCCGCAGTGTAGCCGTCATTCGGCTGTCTGCGGTCGGCAAGTAGTTAAAGAATATTCCACTATAGACTGAGCTCTTAGTATTCCCTCTAGTCCGTGCCCCCTCCCCTGACTTTTCCATCAAGACTAATAATACAACCATCAGTCCCTCCCATCATGCCAGGGTACTAGGTGTAATGCTAGACTCCAATCTGTCCTTTCAGCCCCAAATCCAATCACTGTACAAATCTTGTAGACTTCACCTCCGCAACATCTCCAAGATACGGCCGTTTTTAACCTTAGAAACTACTAAGCAACTTATTCACTCCCTTGTTATCTCTCGCCTTGTCTATTGTAACTCCCTCCTCATTGGCCTACCTCATTGCAGGCTATCCCCTCTTCAGTCTATCATGAATGCTGCTGCCAGACTCATCCACCTTACTAACTGTTCCGTATTTGCCACCCCTCTCTGCCAATCCCTCCACTGGCTTCCCATTGCCCAACGGATAAAATTCGAAACATTAACAATAACATATAAAGCCATTTATAACTCTGTCCCAAATTACATCACTAATCTTGTCTCCAAATATCTCCCAAACCATACTCTCCGCTCCTCACACACACGACCTCCTGCTCTCTTGCTCCCTTGTCTCCTCCTCCCATGCTCATCTCCAGGACTTCTCCAGAGCTTCCCCATCCTCTGGAACTCTCTACCCTAATTTATGAGACTATCACCTACTCTGCTCACTTTTAGGCGATCTCTGAAAACTTATCTCTTCAGGGAAGCCTATCCTGCCCTCAGCTAATAATGGAACCTTCTATTCTTCCAACCAGTCCATTCCCCACAGTTACTACCTTTTGTACCACTAGCCCCTCCCTCCTAGATTGTAAGCTCCAAGGAGCAGGGCCCTCCTAACTCTCTTGTATTGAACTGTATTGTTGCTGTATCGTCTCCTGTTATATTGTAAAGCACTGAGCAAACTGTTGGTGCTATATAAATCCTGAATAATAATAATAATATAGACATTCTTCCAAGGAATATTCTAGATAATCAAGAGGATATAGACCAAGACAGGAGCTCCACTGGAAATGGAGAGGAGCACATGCGAGTGGGAACAAGATTATGCCTCTTTGAGCTTAGGTAGAGTCAGTGAAGGACCCTTAAAGGATAAGTTCACCTTTGGGAACATGTTACAAGTTCTACTCATTTTCAGGGTGGAAAATGTAACATGTTCCCATAGCCGCAGCCGCTGCCTGGCGCCACCCCTCCTTCTGACATAGTACGGGAAACTTCTCCCCATACTATCTGTCAAATTTGAAAACAGCGCAGCCATGTGGAGCTCTGTCCACACGGCCGTGTCATTCATTCACAGACTTCTGTGAATGAATGGATTGAAAGTCCCGACAGCCATAGCAGCTGTGGGCTTGTAGTTTTCAATGAACTACCATGGCGCTGCACAGTGGTAGTTCATTGAAGCTTCCTGTCAGAATATCTGCTTGCTCATACATCCCGTACGACCAAGCAGATATTTTGACAGGTCTGCATGAGACCTGCATGGCATCAGCAATTTAGTGATCGCTGGTGCAATGCTTTCTGGGCACCTGTAGACAAAAATAATAAATGCATAAAAAGTTAATTTATTATTTTTGTCTAAAAGGTGAAGTTATCCTTCAAGTTATAAGAAAAGTCACCCGGGCCATGTTTTCAAAGATAATTACTAGACAAGTGCCAACCAAGATTCCATCATTCTCAAGAGAGAGATTCTGCAGCAGTATTTGTGTACTCTATTACAAAATGTGGTAGTAATAGTTCCAGACGATCGGAAGTGTCATGGTAACTATCCTCTATTTTCTTAATATCCAAAACATAGTGGGGAAGGCAACCAGTTCTCTATTAAGATTGAATAAGTGTGTTAATAAATAACAAATAAAGGCTGGAATTTAATCTATAAAGTCAGGGGACTTTAAGGGATGCATATCTTTGGAGTGTTTTTCATTTTTATGTGTATCGATGACATAATGCAGTTCTGGAAGTAGAAGCTGTGTTCCATTTTCAAATCTGTATGGGGATGATACCATACATGTGCATGTTGAATTCTAGGCTCTGAAGTCCAACTTTATAGTAAGCCTTTCTGATTTCAGAGTGGTAAAGGTGTTTTTGTTTTGGTGGTCATGAGAGGACGTAAAAATTGCAAATAAGTATAATGTTGGTATTTTCATTTGTGGCACAGTGGTGGAAGATTCTATGAAGACTACAGTGGAGAAGTCTCACTGCTATCGCTGCAGCTTTTGCACACTCATAACTTCATGTGCCTGTGCACTCTGCTTACCTGTGTTTTCAATTATTCATAGTGTTAGCTCAACATCTGCAGTTAATCTGGTTGAAAAGAGTCACAAGTCCATCCAGCTCAACCCACATAGAAAAACAAGTTCACCTGCCTTCCTTTACAACGGTGTTAATAGCAATGGTAATGATCCAGAGGGTAAGGGGAATAAGACTGTATCAGTATCTCAACAACATTTTGTTGTTGGCCCAGGAAAGGGATGAGAGGAACCCTTTTTCATGCTGGGGATGATAAGAGCCAATTAGATATATTTGGGGATACAGTTTAGCATCATGAACAACTATGGTGTCACATCTGAAGGATCAAATGTTGGTGATGAAAGCACGTGTCCTTAACTGTATGTGCAACTTGCCTTTCAAAGGAGTTGTGTGATGATAATAGGATTCTTGTTTCCACAATCCCTATGGTGAAGTAGGCTAAGCGGTTTGTTGCCTATTCCAGAAGGGGTTGAATGAGACACAGTGAGGATGATTTACTAAAGCTGGAGAGTACAAAACCTGGTGCAGCTGTGCATGGTAGCCAATCAGCTTCTAACTTCAGCTTGTTCAGTTAAGCTTTGACAAAACACCTGGAAGCTGATTGGTTTCTATGCAGAGCTGCACCCGATTTTGCACTCTCCAGTTTTTTTTTTTTTTCTACAAAAGAAGGCTTTATTGGAAAAGTCCTGACATACAAGCCAGAGGAAACATCATAATACAGTCCAATTAACAATACATTGCAGTATACAGCAATATAGGAATGAATGGGCCGCTTCATTCAGACATAGGCTGCTGGAAACTACTGAAGGCACATTGTGAAAAAAGCTTAATATATCTTGCCATAACAATAGAACATGTATGTATCTAAATAATGCTTAGGAAGAGCAGTTCAGCAGGATGCATTCAAAGCTAACAAAAAGAGAGCAATCACTTGTTGAGCCACATAATTTCCTGAGTGAAAATACATAATTGTACTTGCAATTTCGTATATAGCATCAACAAATTTTAAATTTGGGTGATAAGATGTATAGTAGGTGTAGTGAATTATCCAATTCACAGTTTTAGATAATAAAAAAAGGAAACGGAAGATATGAGAGGAAAAAGTAGTAAGGAGAAAGAGGAAAGAATGAAGAAGCAGCATAGAAAAGTGGGTGTCTCCCTCCCAGCAGAACCATTAAAAGTGGGGAAAACAGGCAAAAGTGAAAAGCCCAGAAGGGAACCTCCACATCGCCCAGTCAGATATTCATGACAGTTTTGTAGGCAGGAGTGGTCTGGAAGTGTATCCAGGCACTCTCCAGTTTTGGCAAATGAACCCCAGTATATCACTCTATGCTGTGTCATTCAGTTCAACCCACACTGTGGGATATAGTTACTGCCATTGCCAGAGGTCCTTGTCAGGAGACTCAGGGGTGATGGATATTCCCAGGTGAAAGGCCGCATATGCCTTTTACCTCCTGATAGTGGGAACGTTATTGCTTCTGAGGCTGGATGAGTAAACAGCAGTCTTTCCTTTTAGGGGGATGGAGCCCTAATATATCTGTGGTTGACTAAAGCTTGGTTTTATGCAGAGGTTTACTTATTCACCTTGCCCCATAATACAAAGTTGAAAATCTGCTTTACCATGCACCAGTGCCCACAAGCACTGTGTACAGCCACATCTTCAAATTTATCTCAATAGGTGGCTGTATGCAACAGCTTCAGGCCCTAGGAAAGCAATTTTGCATACATTGACATGTACTTGGGGCCATCACTTATTTTCGCTTATTTTCTTTTACAAAAAAAAAAAAACCTCTCTATTACTATCTCCTGCGGGATTGAAAAAAACATTTTTTATTTTCTTTTAAAGAATAGATAGATCTCTGCACAGTAGCACCTTTACAACAGCATGACATCATTCAAGTCAATGTGTCTTCATCTTGCACCATGGATCGCCCTTTAGACACTTGTTATATGAGTTGAAAATAGAGCCTACGCTCCTGATAATTGCAGCTGCATATATTAAAGTCAGTGTATGCAAATCCTGTGAGTAATCTCACTTTAATTTTTTGACGTAGATTGTTATCTATAGACAGAACTGTCTTATTCACATGAGTGTTATTTCATTGAGCATGCATTTTGAGTCATTATTACAGAATTTTAATGTGATTTGTGCTGTTGCTTTTACATTTCAAATACTTGTTTACCATATTTTTGTAATTGAATTTTATTATAGCATACTGTACATTAACCACAGATAGAACGCTATTTTAGTATTTCAACCTCCCTGCTTAGATACCAGCATCGCAGGCAAATTCCAT